TGTTAAAATATAATATCAGCTATCACTAATTGAATAACTTACCCTGTGCTGTGTACTTATACTATGCTAAGAACTTTGTGCATGTAAAGTCGTGGGACTTTAAAGGGTAGAAATATTATAATCTCTTTTCTAAATATGAAGAAACCAAGATTTAAAGAACACAGAGTGGAGAAACAGAGAGATGTAGATAATTTGTGCCATTTAGGTATGTTAAGCTTGAAGTGTTGGCTGAGTATTCCTGTAGTGATGTTAAAGTTGGTAGTTTAAAATTTGGTTTTGGAATTCAGAAGATGAGTCAGAGTAGAGGACAAATACTTAGTCATTATCAGCGTAGAGGTGCTTTTGAAACCATAAGAATGGGTGGGCTTACTTGAGAAGGTAGTATAGAGACACTGAAGATAGAACCTCACTAAGTTGGCTAGACTTGAGTCTATGGAGATGAAAGAAGAGGCAGAGGACACTCTTGAAAATAGAGTAGTAGGCCAGGTGCGGTGGCTCATGCCTGTAATCCCAGCACTTTGGGAGGTTGAGGAGGGTGGATCACCTGAGGTCGGGAGTTTGAGACTAGCCTGACCAACATGGAGAAACCCTGTCTGTACTGAAAATACAAAATTAGCTGGGCATGGTGGCACATGCCTGTAATCCCAGCTACTCGGGAGGCTGAAGCAGGAGAATCACTTGAAACCGGGAGACGGAGGTTGCGATGAGTCGAGATCATGCCATTGCAGTCCAGCCTGGGCAACAAGAGTGAAACTCCATCTCAAAAAAAAAAAGTTAGTAGAGTGATAGAGAAAGTTGGAAGAATGAATTTTTTAAATGAGGGTGATAATAAATGTATGAGTTTGCGGCGAGGCAACAGAGATTGAAAACTGAAATGGAATTTGGTTGTTATTAACATTTTGAGGCTGGTTGTGGTAGCCCATGCTTGTAATACCAGCACTTTGGGAGGCTGAGGCGGGCAGATTGCTTGAGTCCAGGAGTTCGAGACCAGCCTGGGCAACATGGTGAAACCCTGTCTCTACCAAAAATAAAAAAATTAGCCGGGCATGGTGGCACACGCCTGTAGTCCCAGCTACTCAGGAGGCTGAGGTGGGAGGATGGTTTGAGCCTGGGAGGCAGAGGTTGCAGTGAGCTATGATTGTGCCACTGCGCTCCAGCCTGGGCGACAGAGCTAGACCTTGTCTCAAAAAGAAAAAGCAAAAAAAATATTTTTAGAGAATAGGCCAGGCGCAGTGGCTCACACCTGTAATCCCAGCACTTTGAGAGGCCGAGGCGGGCGGATCACAAGGTCAGGAGATCGAGACCATCCTGGCTAACACGGTGAAACCCTGTCTCTACTAAAAAATACAGAAAATTGAGCCAGGAGAATGGCGTGAACCCGGGACGCGGAGTTTGCAGTGAGCCGACATCGTGCCACTGCACTCCAACCTGGGTGATAGAGCGAGACTCCGTCTCACACACACACACACAAAAGAGAATAGCTTCAGTGAGGTGGTGGAACATAGATTACAAGGTATATATAGATGAGTCAAGGAGTTAGACTTTTTTTGAGAAATGTATACAAGTATGTGTCTCAATCGATCAGTTAAAGTTCAGTTAAAGAACTTCTTTAATTGGACTTGTTGCCTTTTAACTTCAATTAAAGATCAGTTAAAAGTTCAGTTAAAATAAATGAGAGTTTAATTTTTTTCTTTTTTTTAAAATTTTTGAGACTTGTTCTCAGTTGCTGGGCTGGAGTGCAAAGGCATGATCATGGCTTACTGCAGTCTCAACCTCCTGGGTTCAAGCAATCCTCTTGCCTCAGCCTCCCAAGTAGCTAGGACTATGAGCAAGAGCCACAACGCCCGGCTGTTAATTTATTTTTTATTTTTTGTAGAGACAGAGTCTCCCTATGTTGCCCAGGCTGGTCTTGAACTCTTGGGCTCAAGCAGTCCTCCTGCCTTGGCTCCCAAAGTTTTGGGATTACAGGTGTGAGCCACTGAACCCAGCCTGATTTTTTTTTTTTTTTTTTTTTTTTGAGACTGAGTCTCATTCTGTCAGCCAGGCTGGAATGCAGGGGCATGATCCTGTCTCACTGCAACCTCTGCCTTCCGGCTTCAAGCAATTCTCATGCCTCAGCCTCCTCAGTAGCTGGGATTACAGGCGCATGCAACTATGCCTGGCTGATTTTTGTATTTTTAGTAGAGACAGGGTTTTACCGTGTTGGCCAGGCTGGTCTCGAACACCTGATCTCAGGTGACCTGCCCGCCTCGGCCTCCCAAAGTGTTGGGATTACAGGCGTGAGCCCTGAATTTTTTAATGCAAAATGATTTTAGCTTTTTTATGGTCAAAGAGAAGGAACCATTGAAATATTAAAACCCGGCTGGGCGCTGTTTCCAGAGGTGCTGTTGTTTGGACTTATGTATTATAATTTCTTTACTTCTCTTTATAGTTTTGCCACCTATGAAAATAGTCCTAAACAATATTTTATTTTGAAAAAATAGTTTACCAAGCTAATTGAGTTAGGAAAGGACAATATTATCATAAATAGATGAAGGCTTCCAGGAGAAGATAGCTGAATAGTCTAGTGTCAGGTTCACTGAGTGTCATAAGCTTGTCTTCAGGTAATCAGTGAGCAATGCCATGAGTTTTTAGAAATGTAAGGCACATCCTGCTCTGGTATCTGGCAGTGCTACAGTATGGTATGGACTGGGTATTGCATATTTGTTCAGCAGGTGTATGGTCACATGAAGAGTGCTGTTTTGTATCTTTTATTTCTAAGCCCATGGTAATCTTCCTCCAACATGTTGTAGATCAAAGCAGAACACATCTGCAGGGTGAAATGTGTTCTTAGCTGATCCAGGCAGCAGGGCAGGTGGAGTGAGTAGGTACATCAGCGCAAGCCAAATATCAATAAAAATCTAGAACGGACATCTGGGCATTCTGTCCTTAAGAACAATGTCAATGGTTATCTTAGTGATGACAGATTCATCATGCTGTCTCAGGAGTCACGCTGCTACATTCTGGACTGGTTGCCCTTTAAATCTTGTGCATAGCTAGCATCCTGGAATCTCTCTTCACAGTCTTCCTGAAGATTCCCATTGTTTATCTCCTATGTTGATCTCTTGTATCCTGTATTTGCAATAGTTATCTTTTTAAAAAAATTCACTCTCTTATTGATGGGATACATTTTCCATTATCTCCTTGAGAAAGGATGCATGAAAGGTAAATGTTTGAGATCTTTCATGTCTGAGAAGATATCTTTATTCTACTTCTGTAAGATGATTTGACTGGGTGAAGAATCCTAGATTGGAAATAATTTTTCTTCATAAATTTGAAGAAATTGCCCAACTGTCATCTTCCTTCTAGTATGACTGTTGAGAAGACTGAAGTCGATGTCCTGATTCTCTATAGTAATCTGTGTTTTTTTTTCTAGAAGTTTGTAGAATCTTTTCTGTTCCCAGTATGAGGATGTTTCACAGTGATATGCCTCAGTGTATGTGTTCCTTAATTTTTTTGCACTAGACACTTTGGTGGGTCCTTTCAAATGGGTAGCTTATATCCTTCAGTCTTAGAAAATTTTATGATTTACTTTTTTCTTGTTGATTTCTTTCCAAACCTTTTTTTTCCCCTTTTTATTTCTTGTTTTTTCCTTATGATTTATTTTTTTGGAACTCTGTTATTCAGATAGTGGACCTCCTGGAATGGTTGGTCATCTAATATTGCTATCTTTTCTCTTGTGTTTTCTTTTTTTTTATTTTATTTTATTTTATTTTTTTTTGAGACGGAGTCTCGCTCTGTCGCCCGGGCTGGAGTGCAGTGGCCGGATCTCAGCTCACTGCAAGCTCCGCCTCCCGGGTTCACGCCATTCTCCTGCCTCAGCCTCCCGAGTAGCTAGGACTACAGGCGCCCGCCACCTCGCCCGGCTTTTTTTTTGTATTTTTTTTTAGTAGAGACGGAGTTTCACCATGTTCGCCAGGATGGTCTCGATCTCCTGACCTCGTGATCCACCCGTCTCGGCCTCCCAAAGTGCTGGGATTACAGGTTCTCTTGTGTTTTCTATTGCTTTATCTTTTTTTCTCTGGTTCCTGGAGATTGCCTTAATTTTATCTTCCAATCCTTTATTCATTTCAGCTATTGTATCTTTAATTTCCAAGAATTCTTTGACTTGTATTTTAAAATGTTCTTTACTGAATTGTGATCTGTTCTTACTTTATAGTATCTTCTCTCAGTGTGGAATATGAGTATGTATATGTACATTCTGTGTTAGAGGCTTTTCCTTGGATGCTCAGTAATATTTGGCTGTTTGCTCATGATTAAAAGTGATGGATTAAAAAGCTAGTTGGAAACTCCATTTTGGGTAGAGTATGATGCTAGCAGCTGTGCCTATTATGCCTCAAAGATGCTGCTGTTGTTCCCTCTCTGGAAGGTAGCCCGTCTTCTGCCGAGGTGGAGGAGGTCTGGTTGCTTAGCATCATGAAGGAGAGAGAAGGTCGAGGAATCAAAGTGCGTGTAATTGGTGTTGCTTTCTGTAGATTCTCCACTGTACAGTGTGTTGTTTCTCAGATTTTTTTTTTTTTTCCTGCCAGACTGATTTGGCTTTGCTGGGTCTGCTAACCTACTCAATACTCATCCAGACACTTTCAGTCTTACAAGATTTTGTTGTTCTTATCTCTTTTTGTTTGTTGCTCTCACCTCTTGTCCTTGTGGGTTTAGGTATAAAATAGTCTTTTACTGTTTTAGTCGGCTTTCATGATTAAGTGAAATTATATGCATGTTTTTAATCTGTCAACTTAATCCTAAAGCACAGATTATTTAAAATGTTTGTCTTACCTCTTGAAACTTGAAAGGATTATTAAAGTTAGCCCTTTTCATCTCTTGTTTTGGTTTTTACATTCATATTTATAATATTTGAAACTCATTATGTGGACTGCTCGAGACTGTATTAGTTCAAGGATTTATAAGTGAATCCAGAATTTGTAAATACAAAGGTTGATTGTTTTTTAAATTTGCTCTTATAGGAAAGTGAAAAGGTTTCTGAATATCCAGCAGTGATTGTGGAGCCAGTTCCAAGTGCCAGATTAGAGCAGGGCTATGCAGCCCAGGTTCTGGTTTATGATGATGAGACTTATATGATGCAAGATGTGGCAGAAGAACAAGAAGTTGAGACCGAGAATGTGGAAACAGGTAGACATCTCATAAAATGTTCATTATTTATAACTTTCTCATTTTGTAAGCTTCAACAATAATATTGCCAGATGAAAAATATACTGAAAAACCTTTTTAATGCTATTTAGTATAGCTTGGAAACCAGTGAAACATCTATGTTTTAGGGAATGTGTATAGATATAAAAGTTGTACAGTATAATTCTGTGAGGTGTACAGTCTTATATCATGGACCCTATGCACAAAATTATAGCTTCACATAATGATAAAGTTATTTTATTATTTTTTTTCTGAGAGTGTAAATACTAGCTGTTATTTATACAAGTCAATAGGCTAGTATTATGAGGACAACTTTTTAAATTAAAAAAATAAATATGGTATTTTATCATTCTCTAATTGATTATAAGTTTCTTTGAGTTAATATTGATGGAGAAATATGATTTCTTTTCATTAATATCAGAAGCATCTTTGTAGTGTTCTATCAGTTTCCTCTTTGCTTTTTGTCTTCTTAGAGATCTTAGTATTTCAGTCTATTTCTGGTGCGATAGCTTATGTTTAACTGGAGATTAGTATCTATAATTCTTGGAGAAATCTTTTAGTTTTTACCATTGATTATGAAGAAAAAAGAGTATTTTATCAGAAGGACTGTAGTCACTCTTATATAATAATAAACATGCAAATGTATCCTTAGCTGTTAATGGAGAAAAAGAATCATTATACTTGTTGTTTAATCCTAGTAAAAATTCTTTACTATTTAGTTACATTTTTATAAATGTAGGAAACTTTCATGATTAAAATTTTGAGTATGTGATGTATTTCTGCTTATGAGGTCCAGTGGTACCCCTTAGGGCTACTAGCCTCTTCCAGCTTAAAACTGTTCTGCCTCTAATTGTAGTTTTTGTGGAGCTAAGGGATTGAAAGTTACCTTGCTTTTCAGAGCACTGATGATTGCAGTGCCAGCAAACAAACCCCAGGTGTAGTGGAAACTTCATTTATCAAAATAGGTAGCCAAGCTGGGTGTGGTGGTGTGCACCTGTACTCCCAGCTACTTGGAGACTGAGGCAGGTGGCTCGCTCAAGGTCAGGAGCTCAAGTTCAGCCTGGGCAACATAGCAAGACCCCATTTCTAAACAAATAAACAAAAGACCAGGCATCCAAGCACTTCATATGGGCTTCGTGACTAGTCTGGAGTGGTATCTGATTTACAGTACATAATACCTATCTTTTTATGAGAATTTGGAGAATTTTCCAGTCTGAAGCTAGAAGTATAGTGGCAGAGATGAATTTTCTTCTTGAGGAAAAGGATAGGTAGAACAGTTAAAAGTATTTTGTAGGATGATGTTTTGGATTATATATTGTAACTGATTTTATTACAAGAGCATAACTAAACAGAACACTAATAGCAGAAGAAAAAAAGTATAGTAGCTTAAGTTAAATGGAAAAAAAGTAGAACCTGTTTGAAATTTCTGAATGATGTTTTGGTCAAAAAATAAGGAAAACTATGATTTTGGTAGCAAATTGGAAACTTTAAAAATGATCAAAACTATAGCACCAAATTTGTGTAAGTTAGTAAATTAGGATGTTTATCATATTAAAATACCAAAGCAGATTGGCTGAATCTTATTATTGGTATAATTGACTGTAAATGTTTTATTAATTTAGATTAATTCAGGTAAAACCAATTCAGAATAGGAAGCGAATGTAATCGACTTAAGGGATTTTATTTTCTCAGTCTTCTTGAGCTCTCAGGGTAATGATGTCATTGGCTGGGCAGAGATAATAGTGATTATGAAAAGGAGGATATGGGAAGTCTAGATAAAATAACAGTTACTTTTGTGATATGCTTTTTTTTGTAAGTGGTTTTTGAATATTTGATAATAATTTTAAAATTTACTTCAACACAAAAAGAAAATGTAAGCAGATTACTGATACCATTCTAAAATGGTATAAAAGCACCTCAAAAGTTCATTGTGCATGTTCCATCCTGACTCATGGATTTCTTTTTTTTTTTTTTTTTTTTTTTTTTGAGACGTAGTCTTGCTCTGTCGCCAGGCTGGAGTGCAGTGGCGCAATCTCGGCTCACTTTAACCCCCACCTGCTGGGTTCAAATGATTCTCCTGCCTCAGCCTCCCCAGTAGCCGAGACTACAGGCACATGCCACGATGCCTAGCTAATTTTTGTATTTTTTAGTAGAGATGGAGTTTCACCATGTTGGCTAGGATGGTCTCGATCTTTTGACTTCGTGATCTGCCCGCCTCGGCCTCTCAAAGTGCTGGGATTATAGGCACAAGCCACCGTGCCCAGCCTGGCTCATGAATTTTAATGTAACTTTATAAAGATTGTTAATATTCATAGATTAGTTTTCAAATCAACTAATCTAAGCTTAACATTCTTTCTATTAAGAATCAGGCTGAGCGTGGTGGCTCACGCCTGTAATCCCACCACTTTGGGAGGCTGAGGCGGGTGGATCACGAAGTCAGGAGATCGAGACCATCCTGCTAGCATGGCGAAACCTCATCTCCACTAAAAATACAAAAAATTAGCTGGGTGCGGTGGCATGTGCCTGTAGTCCCAGATACTTGGGAGGCTAAGGCAGGAGACTCGCTTGAACCCAGGAGGTGGAGGTTGCGGTGAACCAAGATAGTGCCACTGCACTCCAGCCTGGGCGACACAGCGAGACTCTATCTCAAAAAACAAACAAACAAGAAAACTAAAAAAAGAATCAAATGCATTTTTAAATGAGTTAAAATCTGATAAAGTTTTCATTCTTCTGACATCTAGGGCGTATACAAATGAATAAAGGTTGGTATGCATATTTCCTTTTAGGTAGTGAATTAGGAGTAGGTTCATTTCTTATAATATAAAATTGAAACTCAGATTACAGATACATGTAGGTTTTAAAGAAGAAGCTGACTGGGAGGAAAAGGAATACTTATAAGATGGCAGATTTGATTTGGTGAATTGGGGGAATTGAGATCTGTATAGAATACTTCCCTGTGTACGTCTAGGAAAACTTCATGGAATGCTCCTACATTATAATTTAGATTATGTTAGTGTAAAAAATGTTATAATTATATTTATTGGCTTGTTCTGACAGTTCTCTGCATGTTCTCATTGAAGTGTTTTTTCCCTTTTATTCCTAAATACCCATATGTATGTGTCCATATCATAAACAGTGTTCTATTCTCATTTGGGTTGGAGTACTAAAATCATATTATGATTTTCATGTAGCCATCTTTATTATTTTGTATATAAAAGAATTTCTCATTTTGTTAGTAGTGATTATGGGCTGTTTGTTTCTCCTTTTTGTAGACTAACAGTCTACGTTTCCCTCACAGAGCTTATGTGTAACACTAATGTTCTCTTAAATTGTATGGGAGAGGCCAGGTGCTGTGGCTCACGCCTGTAATCCCAGCACTTTGGGAGGCCGAGGCGGGCAGATCATGAGGTCAGGAGATCGAGACCATCCTGGCTAACATGGTGAAACCCCGTCTCTACTAAAAATACAAAAAATTAGCCGGGTGTGGTGGTAGTCCCAGCTACTCGGGAGGCTGAGGCAGGAGAATGGCGTGAACCTGGGAGGCGGAGCTTGCACTGAGCCAAGATCGCGCCACTGCACTCCAGCCTGGGCGACAGAGCGAGACTCCGTCTCAAAAAAAAAAAAAATTGTATAGGAGAAACCAAATATATTTTGAAACTTTAAAAATAGGCATATTCATCTAAACATATAGTAAATTGCTTGTGATAACAATTGCGGATTAGTAATTATAAAGAGACTTTGAGGAAGAGTGATGAAATATAAGTGAAGGATGGTCTTGATTCTGGCAGATATAAAATGTATTTCCCAGTGGCTGCAGACTCCATCAGTTCTAGGGGCCTGCTGGATAGATTGGTATGGTGAATAAGGGGAGGGAAGGAGTTTTTTGGATTCCCTGCAGGAGTTTATAAGTGTTGATAGAAATCAGTTGATAGAAATCTTTTAAGACCGGACTAGGCTGGGCATGGTGGCTCATGCCTGTAATCCCAGCACTTTCGGAGGCTGAGGCGGGTGAATCACGAGGTCAGGAGTTCAAGACCAGCCTCACCAACATGGTGAAACCCCATCTCTACTACAAATACAAAAAATTAGCTGGGCGTGGTGGCGCACGCCTGTAATCCCAGCCACTCAGGAGGCTGAGGCAGGAGAATTGCTTGAACCCGGGAGACAGAGGTTGCAGTGAGACGAGATCGCACCACTGCATTACAGTGCACACAGCGAGACTCCGTCTCAAAAAAAAAAAAAAAAAAAAAGACTAGACTAAGGTGACTGAGCTGTTTAGGATTTACTCCTTCATTTTTCACCTTAACAAATACTTGTTACTCTATTTATCCCCTTAACTTTCCAGTTTAGTTTGTGAGAGCAGGTTATGTCTGCATTTGTTATGTGCAAGGTACTGTTTTCAGCATGTTTCTTTTCAGGGGTGATTTAGTTGTGGAGATAAAAATCTATGTTATATTTAAAATACAAAACAGTCAAGAGTCAAATGAGCGTTGTTTACAAATTCAAAGCAATTTTCAGAAGAGGAAAGTTCAATTTACAGGATTAGGGAATTTTTTTAGAGAAAGTAAAGGACACATGATAGGATTTAGGTGGACAAATAGGAGGTAGGTGAAATGCACTGTAAACTGAGGGAAATACAATTAATAAATGAGTAGACTATTGAAATTAAATGCTTGTTCAGAAGATCTTGAGTAAATAAGACATTGGCACGAGATTTCATTAAGAGCTATGACTAGATCGTGAATTAAATCTCAAGAGTTAGTAATTAGGCATATAAGGAAGCAGAAAGACTTGGAAGGTTTTAAGTAGGAAATACTAGGGGGCCAGTACTTTGGGAGGCAGAGGCAGAGGTGGGAGGATCTCTTGAGGCCAGGAATTCAAGACGAGCCTGGACAACACAGTGAGACTCCACCTCTTAAAAAAAAGTTTAAAAAGTGGCCAGGTATGGTGGCGTGCACGTGTAGTCCTGGCTACTTGAGAGACTGAGGCCAGAGAATCCTTTGAGATTAGGTGTTTGAGGTTATAGTGAGCTATGATCGTAGTACCACTGTGCTCCAGCCTGAGTGGCAGAGTGAGCCATGTCTCTAAAAAGAAAGTACCGTGCAATTTTAGTATTTCAGTTGGATATAGGATTAATTGTAGGGGGAAAGATGACACAGGAAGACTAGCTGTTGTAGTATGAGTTGAAGGATGACTTGAGAAATATTAAAACGAGGTAGTAGCAACAGGAACAGAAAGGGCTTGTATAAACTATACTACTATATATGATCTTACATGACATATAAGGGGGAGAGGCACAGTTAGGTAAAATATTCTGCTTTTTGACCCTTGGTGATGGTGATAGTAGCACATATGATTTGAGGAAGGCAAGATTGTTTGGTGAAGCAGATAAGTTTGGTAATAGTCATGATGATTTTGAGTTGAAGCAGAACATTTAAGGATGAATATTTAGGTATTTAAAGATGCACAAATGTGGCCGAGTGCAGTGGCTCATGCCTGTAATCCCAGCACTTTGGGAGGTCAAGGCAGGCAGATCACTTAAAGTCAGAAGTTCAAGAGCAGCCTGGCCAACATGGTGAAACCCCATCTCTACTAAAAATACAAAAATTAGCTGGGACACCCAGTGTCCACAGTGGTGCACACCTGTAGTCCCAGCTACTCAGGAGGCTGAGGCAAGAGAATTGCCTGAACCGGGAGGCGGAGGTTGCAGTGAGCTGAGATCATGTCACTGCACTCGAGCCTGGGCGATAGAAACTCCATCTCAAAAACAATAAAAAAAGACGCATAAATGTGTAGTCAAAGTCCCATCACAAAAGAGATGGCATGCTCAAATTAGGATAATTTAAGGAATGTTTTAATAAAGGACTAGTTACAAACAGGCAAATACAAGGTAACCGTAGGAGACAGTGCAGTACTGCAGACCAAGCAATAACTGCTGTTTCTGTCCTTTGGCCCATGGGCCAAGGGGAAGGAAGGGTTACCAGAATCCTGAAGAATAGAGCCCTGAACAGGGAGTCACCTTGGGAGATTCTGGAACCTTTGATCAAAGGACACAGCTAGCTGGAGGGCAATGCCTCTTCCAAATAATATCCTGCTAAGGTGCTCCATTGACGAAACCCAGTCTGAAGCCATGAGAGTCCTGCTGATGAAGTCAGTCTCCAGGGACAGAGAGCAAGGTGAAGAAGGGTGGAGAATAAATCTGGAGGAGCAAATGGAAGATATCTAGTACAACTAAAGCTTAGCAAAGAAAGGTCAGGGAGAAACTGATTTGGGAATCATCTTCATTTAAAGCTGCGGAAATAAATTTCCAAGAGCAAACGTATTTCAGAGATTTTTCCCAAGGAAGAAGATATGTAAATTCTATGTTTGTCTCTCTGTGATAGAGAACAAAGGGCGTAGTATTAAGGAATTAACCTTAGAGAATGTTTGCATTTTAAAGAGTGCAGAAGAATCAGAGTAGTCAAATATGATAGAAAATCCTGGCCGGGCGCTGTGGCTCAAGCCTGTAATCCCAGCACTTTGGGAGGCAGAGACGGGCGGATCACGAGGTCAGGAGATCGAGACCATCCTGGCTAACAAAGTGAAACCCCGTCTCTACTAAAAAATACAAAAAACTAGCCGGGCGAGGTGGCGGGCGCCTGTAGTCCCAGCTACTCGGGAGGCTGAGGCAGGGGAATGGCGTGAACCCGGGAGGCGGAGCTTGCAGTGAGCTGAGATTCGGCCACTGCACTCCAGCCTGGGCGACAGAGCGAGACTCCGTCTCAAAAAAAAAAGAAAATCCTGGGTGGACTATTTCTGAGTTTGTTTGTTTTTTCCCTGTAAGTGGCTCTCTTTAGTAGGAAAGGGAAGAGTATTGACTTGGGTTAGTTAGTTCTGATTTCACATTTCCCCTTTATCACTTACTTGGCAGTATTTAACCTTTTCAGAGTGTTTCACTGTCAGAAAATAGGAATTCAGGGTTGTGAAGATTACATAAAATAAATACATAAAGCACAGTGCTTGTAACAGAGTTTCTTTAATTTCATTAGCACCTTCCCTGTGACTTCAAGTATGGACAGGACTTTTATACATTAGAGTGGAATATTTGTTTAACTTTGTTTATGTCTCTTGTGTTTTTCTCCTTCCTTTTGCTTCCACTTTAAAAAAAAAACAAAAACAAATGCTTTATACCTTCAGTTTATACTTTTTCCTTGTCATTCCTTCGTTGATTATTGTGCTCTGGCATCTCCATTCATCATTCTACCGAAGCTCTTTATCAGATTTCAGTGACTACTCTTCTGTCAAATTCAGTGACCCATAGAATCATCCAGAAGTAATCCTTCATAATCTTGCCTTCTTGTCTGCTGAAACACTGTATTCTCCTAGTTATTTTTCTTACTGACCTTTGCATGGATTGTACTATTTATGCTTCTGAGCGTTTGCTCAAAGACAGTTTCCTCCTATCTGTAATGTGCTCAGGTAGGTATTAGCCATCCTTTAAGGCCCAACTACATCAAGATTTCTACAATGATTGTGGTCTACATTAAACATTTCCTTACCTGATCTGTTATACCATCTGGATTTAGGTACTCTCTTGTATTCTTTTATTATTTTTATCTATTATTGCTTATATTATTTTTGTTGTATATACTATACTCCTGTTGTTTTCCCAGTGAGTGTGTAAGCACCTTGAAGACGGAGACTATACTTTTTTCTTTTGTTGAATATACTGTTGAACATATAATAACTAGCTGGAAAATACAAATGGAAACAGATTGAGTTCTGAGTTAGTATTGTAGTATAATCAAGAACCATCTATGTAAAGTCAGACTTAAATTTCATTTTAAAAATCACAGTTGGTGTTCATCATTCTTGCTTATATCTAATAATTTGGATTTTTTTTTTTTTTTTTTTTTTTGAGATGGAGTCTTACTATGTCACCCAGGCCGGAGTGCAGTGGTGTGATCTTGGCTCACTGTAACCTCTGCCTCCTGGGTTCAAGCGATTCTCCTGCCTCAGCCTCCCAAGTGGCTGGGACTACAGTTGTGTGCCACTATGCCCAGATAATTTTTTTATTTTTAGTAGAGACGGGGTTTTACCATGTTGGTTGGCCAGAATGGTCTTGATCTCTTGACCTTGTGATCCGCCCGCCTCGGCCTCCCAAAGTGCTGGGATTACAGCCACTGCGCCCGGCCTTTGAATTTTTTTTTTTTGAGACAGAGTCTCGCTCTCTCGCCCAAGCTGGAATGCAGTGGCGCGCTCTCTGCTCACTGCAACCTCTGCCTCTTGGGTTCAAGCAATTCTCATGCCTCAGTCTCCTCAGTTGCTAGAATTACAGGCACTCGCCACCATGTCTGGCTAATTTTTGTATTTTTGGTAGAGACGGGGTTTCTCCTTGTTGTACAGGCTGATCTCGAACTCCTGACCTCATGCGATCTGCCCGCTTCAGCCTCCCAAAGTGCTGGGATTACAGGTCTGATTTTTTTCTTAAAAGCAATACATGCTTAATTGAAAAATTGGAAAGTATTGCAAAGAATAAACAAACTGAAAATCATCACCCCAATCTTACCAACAAGGAGACGATGGTTGTTGCTTTTTTAAAAAATTCCTTTTAGTCTTTTTTAAAAATATGCATTTTAATCATAATTAATATTATATAATACAAGCTTCCTGCTTCTGTCTTCTGACCACTTGGGGCAGGACTTTGCTCCTTAACTACGTATAAAGACATTAACATTTAGTCTTATTAGTTAATTATCAAGAAAACTTAAACCATTTTTAGTGATCAACAAAATTGTGTTTACACATTAGTTGAAAAGATAGATGATGATGAGAATTTTTACATAATTCAACAGGAAAGCAGTGCTTTTTAAAAGTAAAAATGAAAGTTTAGGTTTTTAAAATGGAGTTTAAAAAATAAAACCATATTTTCTTCACGAAAAATAAGATAAGGAGCCAAATTTCTTTCTTGAAGAATCTCAGGACTAATTTGACTTCATGATGAGCTGTCATAACTTTTGTATTTGTTATACCATCAGAAATCCTCCCTGTGGCACAAAAGGACTCCTTTAATTAAAAAATATTGTTGCCACAGGGAGGTAGAAGATCGACATGAAAAACTGGGGATCTGAAAAGGAGCCCCTATCCTAGGATTACCTGAAGGTGAAACAGATTGAGCCAGAAGGAAGACAATGCTGGTAGGTTGGTTTTTAATTTATTAAAAATGTTTATACTTTTATATTTCATTAAAATTATTTCATCTACCTTTACCATATTTTTGTTTAAAGGGTGACAATGATTCCTCCTTAAGGAAGGAGAAGTAATATGATAATATTTTTCCTCCAAGATAGTTTGCTGAGTTGTCCCTTGCCATGTTCTTAATATTTGTTTCTTTTTATAGATGAAGCTCTGGGGCTATTTCATGCCTCTACTTCCTTGGAAGCTACTATTGACTGAACGTCTTTAAGTCATTTTTTTTTGTCATTTCTATTATTTTTGCTTCTAATTTACATCTTTTCCTAAATTTTTAAAAAGTATTTTTCCCCCAATTATTTATTTTCTTGAGGTTAGGCTAGCCCTAAGTTTTCTAAAATGGTAAAATGTGAATCTTAAGTTCATTTAGTTTTTACTCTAGAATTGTTTGAATTGTAATTGTACAGTGATTTAGATCAGGCAGTATTATTAGATAAAATTTTTTAATACTTTAATAACTATCAGCCAGGTATAGTGGCTCAAGCCTGTAATCCCATCACTTTGGGAGGCCTAGGTCAGGAGTTTAAGATCAGCCTGGCCAACTTGGTGAAACCCCATCTCTACTAAAAAATATAATTAGCCGGGCGTGGTGGTTGGACGCCTGTAATCCCAGCAACTGGGGAGGCTGAGGCAAGAGAATTGCTTGAACCCAGGAGGCGGAGGTTGCAGTGAACTGAGATGGCACCACTGCACTCCAACCTGGACAACAGAGACAGACTCCATTTCAAAAAACAAAACAAAACAAAAACAACAATAAAACTATTTCATTTAGCCTGAGATGCTATCAATTGTAATAAACATTTTTATACCACTAAAGGAAAAAATGCTGCCAAATATAAACTTTCTAAGGGACTGTCAACTTTAAGATAGGTACTGATTTCAGAGATGTCAAATGTGAAAAATGTGTATTTTAGGATTAATGAAATATGATTTGCAGTTATGAATCTTTCCTGAAACTCTCATTTACTGGGAATTAAACATTAAAATATGAGGCCTATGAAAAATGGGGGTGAGTTGTGGTATGGAAATCCATATGAGTGCTGAGTAGGCTCTCTGAATTGTTTTTTTTTTTTTTTTTTTTTTTTTTGAGACTGAAGTCTCGCTCTGTTGCCAGACAGGAGTACAGTGGCGCGATCTCAGCTCACTGTAACCTCCTGGGTTCAAGCGATTCTCCTGCCTCAACCTCCTGAGTAGCAGAGATTGCTGGCGCGCACCAACATACCCAGCTAATTTTTGTATTTCTAGTAGAGACAGGGTTTCACCATGTTGGCCAGGATGGTCTCGATCTTCTGATCTCATGATCTGCCTGCCTTGGCCTCCCAAAATGCTGGGATTACAGGTGTGAGCAACGATGCCCAGCCTCTAAATTCTTTAATGTCTTTTAAGAGAGGATATTTAAATAAAAAAATCATATAACCATATTGTTTAAAATTATACAAAATAACCATAAGTGGTCAGATTTTGGAGTATATAGAAAAAGAAAATCTTTTTTTAATATGACATATTTACTTCAATAGATTGTTATCCTAATTGAATATCACTTAATTAGTAGAACTTTGAGATCTAAAAAGAAAATGAAATGAAGCTTCTGCTTTTTAAACTGTCATTTAAAAACAGGATCCTTTAAGGGCTCGTTAAAATAGCACAATTTTTAGTACACTTGAATGTATGTTTTACAGATTATTAATTATGTGAAGGAGAAAATAGTGGCCAAAGGCAAAGACCTACTCTGTCAATTAATAAAGCAGAAATGAAAAAGAATTATTTTATTTACTTTTAATGTTTTTTTTTGTTTTGTTTTGAGACATGGTCTTTCTCTGTTACCCAGGCTGGAGTGTAGTGGGGCAATCTTGGCTCACTGCAACCTCTGCCTCCCGGGTTCAAGCGATTCTCCTGCCTCAGCCTCCTGAGTAGCTGGGATTACAGGTGTCCACCACCATGCCTGGCTGATTTTTGTATTTTTAGTAGAGACAGAGTTTCACCATGTTGGCCAGGCTGGTCTCAAACTCCTGAGGTCAAGTGATCCGATCTGTCCTCTGGGATTATAGGCATGAGCCATTGCGCTCTGCCAATTTTTTTTTTTTTTTTTTTTTTGAGACGGGGTCTCTGTCACCAAGACTGGAGTGCAGTGGCACGATCTTGGTTCATTGCAAACTCTGCTTCCCAGGTTCAAGTGATTCTTCTGACTTAGCCTCCCGAGTAGCTAGGATTACAGGCACCCACTACCATGCCCTCCTAGAGTGCTGGGATTATAGGCGTGAGCCACTGCACCCAGCCAATTTTTTTTTTTTTTGAGACAGGGTCTCTCTTTGTCACCCAGGCTGGAGTGCAGTGGTATGATCATGGCTCACTGGAGCCTTGACCGTCCCAGCTCTAGTGCTCCTCCCACCTTAGCCTCTCTAGTAGCTGGGACTACAGGCAAACGCCACGACACTCAGCTAACTTTTTTATTATTTGCAGAGACAAGATCTCAGTATGTTGCCCAGGCTGGTCTCATACTACTGGGCTCAAGCAATTCTCCCCCTTTGACCTCCCACAATGCTGGGATTATAGGCATGAGCCACCCTGCCTGGATGAAAAGAAATGATTTTAAATGATGTTTGTATACCAAGAAACATCTGTTTATGTAAAAGGAAAGAAAAGTATATCTAGATGATAGATCATTAAAAGATATTTGTTTGATTTTGGAAACTAGTAGCCATTCATTCCTTTGTATTCAGAGAGACTTTAAAATTTTTTTTAATTTATCTTTTTTGAGACGGAGTCTTGTTCTGTCACTCAGGCTGGAGTGCAGTGGTGCGATTCTGGCTCCCTGAAACCTCCACCTCCTGGTTGAAGCGATTCAGAGAGACTTTTTAAAGAAATACTAGTTAACTTTTAACTTTGCTATACAATAGTGTATCTAAATAATACAATTTTATTAATTCAGACTGAGGAGAAGGCTAAATCTGGATTACATAGAATTTTAAATGAGTAGCAAACAAGGTTACAAGTGTTGCCAAGCAGAGATAGATTTTAAGATTTTCTTAGAGGTACAAATAGGAATGCTTTAACACATATCTCTAGGAAAATCCATACATCCATTCAGCCATCTGTCAGTGCTTACTGAGGACCTGCAATGTCCCAGCCTCAGAGCTGAATATCTTGTAGTAAACAAGACCCTCTCTTTGCCCTCACCAGGCTTTCAGCTATGTATAGAAGATGAACAATTTATTAAACATGTTATTATGATAAAATGTGATGAGAATTATGATAGGATTAATTCAAAGTTTATAGGAGTAAACAGCAGGAGAATGCCTTCCTGAGGATGTGACATCTGAAGTAATTATCCAGGCGGAGAATAGCGAGGTTGAAAGTCTGGAGGAAGAAAAATAAGGCTTATTTGAGTTGCTGAAAGAGATTCAATAGGGTTAGAGTATGAATTATGAGAAGGAAAGGGGATTAAAATGACGTATAAGAGGCAAAAAAGAAAAAAATCTTATTGCTGAGGGCTTTTAAAGCTTTTTATCTGTTTCTTGGATCATGTAAGTCTAAAGGGCAGTGAGGAGCCTTTTAAAAGTTTTGAGCAATTTTGAAAAATACAAATTTAGTTTTTTCCAAAATAGTAAGTGCTGTAAATGGAAAAAGGAATAGGACAGTCAAATAATTACTTGAAGTCTGAACTCGTTGGTTTCTCATTCATAGCTCCCTGATATCTAGCTAACTGTTCTTATTCATCTTCTACTAAGTTGGCTACCTCTCCAGATTTGGGTTATAAGTATGTTCATTGCCTACACTAAGCTAAAAGTAGTAGAGATTAAGATAGTTGCTCAGCTAGCCTTTCTTTTTGGAGTTAACAAGGTAGGTGCTTTGTACAGTGCTGTTTCAGGAGGAGGAATCATTGTCCCTTATCCATTGTCCATGCCCATTTGTGTAAACTTGTGGGTTTTTCCAGGACCTGGGCGAGACTCAAAACAGCAAGTCCTGATTGAATGCCATGCCTATTTGTTGAATTTGTTAGGTATTTATCTAGGCTGGTGGTCTTTAAGTCAATTGTGTAATAGGAGTATTACTTTATATTGAGACCTCATCTGTTCGGGGCAGGGGGAAAAAAAAAAAGGCTAGTATGGTGGCATGGACCTGTAGTCCCAGCTACTCCTTGCAGTCCCAGGAGTTCAAGGCTGCATTGAGCTGTGATGGCTCCACTGCTCCAGCCTGGGCAAACAAGCAAGACCCTGTCTCAAAAAAAAAAAAAAAAAAAAAGTTTATCATTTTGATCATTTGTACTAGACAGCATAAGTTAATATATTTCTTTTGGTCTTGCTATCTTTGAGGACTAACTTATAAGTAAAAGTTATCTTGCAACTCTTTGTGTATTTTCAGCACTGCATACAAACAACTGCTGGTTTTTATTTCCACTGGCATCATCGACAGTGTTCTAGGCTTCAGGTGTTGTAATAGATACCATAAAGAGAAGTATATACAGAAGAGCTATGATTTGAGCCTTTACAACTAAATATATATAAAAGGGCTTTATAATGGATTTTTTCTTTTTAAAAAATGTAATACACAATATTTAGAATATTAAACTGAAAAATTCAACTAATATGTATGTACTACTAAAATTAATAAAATATTGGCAGCAGTGTTAATTTAAATACATCTTATTTTCCCCTTTCCTTCTTCCTTAAGATAATTACTATCCTGTTTATTAATGATATAATGGAATATTTACAATAGAAGTATGGAATATTCCAGATATGTGTGGTTTTTAATTGCCAAAAAGAAGTGACCTTTTAGTTTAACAACAATTTATTTTGGAGTAGGTTGGCCTATTAATGACAAGCTCTCATTTTTATGGGGATTTAGATAAAGATTCAAATCATAGCTCCTAAGCAGTGCAGTTATTTAAGATGGAATGAGAGGTTGTGAGTATCTTTACAACTAGAGATTTTAAAGCATGAAC